GTACCCCGGCGTTGTTGTTGGTTGCTTGCAGCTCTCTTGCCTTCTTGCCGCAATTAGAATGCGCGCCGCGCGGCTCTCTTGCTCTTTAGGCTAATGTGAAAGTGTGCGCCGGCCGCCGGCCCGACCAAAAGTGTCCGTAATTAGTGCTCTGTGCCCGGCCCGGCCCCGGCTCCTTCTGAACAACTGCAAAACTCCAAACTGGGTCAAGCCCCGGCCGGACCCACCCGTGGGCCTAGACTCCGCGTGGAGCAGACCTTAAAGCCGCGGTTCCATACCCGAGCGGCTCAGCAGCAGCAACCTCTGCCGCGCCGAAAGGAGAAAGAGATGAAGAACAAGAAATAGCGAGCCGAAGGCGGGTCAGGGTCAGGGTCACCGGGTGACCCTCTCTCTCTCACTCTTTCACCACCTCCTCCTCCTCCTTTGCCTGGTCCTGAGCGGGAGCATACAACATGGCGATTCGCTCGTCAAAATTTGGGGCACTAATGACCCTTGATTTGGACGAGCTCCTTATTTTTGATGAGGGGCGTCCCCGTGCGCCACTAGGCCGCCGCGGGGTGTCGCGAATCGCTGTATTCAAAACAATCCCGCGGCAAGAGGAAGTGTGTCACCACTACTGCGCTCCAAAATGCGGTCCCCCAAGGTAAAGGTCACCGTGGATGTGAGTGTGTGAGTGTAGTCGTATCGGAAACGGGTGCAACGGCAACGGCGGGCGGAGCAGGCAGCGGCCGCACAGGGTCAGGGCGAAAGTGACGCGTCCGCGACTGGTTTCGGGACCCCCTGCTGGCCGAGCCCGACCCCGCGCCCCGCTGTGCTCGGCCCGACGGGCGGCTAATTCGGCGGGCGCGGTGAGGTGTTTCACACCAAACTAGCTCCTCGGAAGTGGGACCCACCACCACCACCACCACCACCCATCCCCCGTCCCGCGTGCACAAACTATACGGGCAGGCGGAGGAACGCGGTGGCCCGGCCCACCCTGAACGGGCGCGGGGGAAGGGACCCATCGTGCATCAACACACACACACAAACGCACGCACGCACGCACACACACACACACACACACACACGAGGTGCGGTGAGGGGCGAACAGGTTATTTCCTCGGCCATTACTTTTAGCGGCTTGCAAGGGAATATCCGACGCGAAGCCGGGGAAGGGCCTAGCAGCAGCGCCTCGCGCGCCTGCCTTGGGGAGTCTAAATTAGGCGGGCTTCTTTATAGGCGCACTTTTGCTGCTGCGCTGCTGGCCGAGGCCGGGTAGCGCCTATTTCGGCCCATTTCCCGCCTGCCTCGCCCAACACGCCGGCGCTTTACTCGGCCCGCCGGAGGATGGGGAGTAGGCGGTAAAAATATATATGGAACACGCGCGTCGATCGTGTCGTTTATGTCATCATTCACTGCATGCTGCTGGCTGGCTCGCTCGCTCAGCCCTTCGATGAGACCCCTTCCGCTTCTCCCCCTCTCCACCCCGGCGGCGCGGGAGAGAGAGAAAGCCCGTCCAGGCCACTCAAATACTAACATTATTTTCAGGTTGTTAGCGCGAAACGAGACGACGACGACGCCGGCTAGATGCGGTCGGGCTGGTCGCGCGCGCCGCCAGGGGAGGACTTGGCACTAAACGACAGCGATAAATTGCCGCGCCAGTGCGGTGGAGGGGCGGGGCGCTCCGTACCGACCCGACCATGGGAACGCACGTGGGAGGAACTGAGAGCGACAGAGAGAGATGGGGGGTGGGGTGTGCGGCAAGCGAACAACTGCTCTCTGGCTCCCCCAAATGCAATCTAGAAGTGAATCTACCGGCGGCGAGCTGACCGCGGGGCGGCGGCGGCGGCGTGCGGCTGCAAGTTGGAAATAGCGACGCGATAGGCGATCTCGACTTGCATGTCCGCGTCCACATGTGTCCGCCACCGCAAGTCCTCTTCTCCCTCCTGAAGTAAAGTCCGCCGTCCTCCTCACCTCGCTCACATCAGAAGAGTCCGCGTCGCCGTCGACTCTGCGGCTGCCGATGCAGCAGTGATCCACTCGCGCGTCGATATCACTCTCCTCCAGAAACATCCTTCCAGATCTGGCGCGGCGGCGGTGGCGGCGGCACCAGCTCCTCCAGAAGTGTCCCACGTCGCCGTCGACGCGATCCTCTCGATAGCGACACGCCGTCCTGTCCGGCCCGGCGGCCCTGCCCCGGTGCGGCTCAAATAAAGAGACACGCCACTTGCTTTCTCCATCGATTCGAGCGGGTCGTTTCAGACGGGCGGAGGTGAGGTGCACCGAGTGCGTCACGGAGCGAGCCGTCTTGGCCTTTTTTGAAAGCCGTCGGTCGCGCTGCCCGGAGCCCCCGGTCGGTCCGGGTCTGCCCGCCGCCCGCATTTGGCGCCAGGGGGGTATACGACGCGAGAGTACCGGTTGGGGGGGGGGGGGGGGAGATCCAAGGGGGCACTCAACCGTGACTAGCTCATGACAATATTTTTAAAAATATCCCCCCCTACACACACACTCGCCGGTAAATAAAGAGCATCCCCGAGATGTCGACGCACCTGTGTCCGATTTAATCGGCCGTGCATTCCGGTCCGGCATTAGCGCAGCTTTAACGGCGGGAAGGGGATGAAGGAGTACGGGCGCGTCAGCGGCGGGGAGCGGGAGTGAGGATATATGGTGATGGCGCGACGCCACGGAATCCTCCTTTCTCGGCTTCGCGTTGTCTTCCTTTTTCTCTTGTTTTTTTCTCTTTCCAAACCTCATTATCGCCCGGATTCATACACCCCGGGGGCACTCTGTGAAGCGCAGAGTTTAGGTTATTTGCTGCGCGCGCACCTGCAGCGGGAGACCCGGGGCGAGGCTGATCCTCCCGAGGCCCCGAGTCCGCAAGGTCCAATCATGTCACACTCTAAATCTTGAGGGAATTTTTAAAGGACGCGATTGTGTCCTTTACTAGATGCATTTTAAGCACACCTGATGACGCAAATGCACATCTGTATCCTGCAAATGACAAATTTCCATTTTTCTAATAGACACAAATAAAAATTGTCCAAAAGAAGGATGCAAAATTTGTCCCTAGCAAAGCTGCTAAAAATGCATCTGTATGTGAAGAGGTACTTTAAAAAATGCATCTTCCTATGAACAGAAATAGCCCCTTCACATTGTGCACCTACAAACAAGCACAGCGCGCGATTGGTCGACTACACCCCGCCCCCCGCGCTCTTCGCGCCACTGGTTATCGGTTCCTACCGACCTGACCCTTGCCCAACAGGTACGTGGATGCGCGTCGGCATTAGCACACATCCTATAGTGCGTTTTGTTTTTGTTCGCGTTGTTTGCACTCTGCGCGTGCCTTCAGACCTTTTTCATTTCATTTTTTTGCGCCACTTCTTATGTTCCTGTTCGCGCTCCAGTTGCAACCGCTCCTACCGCCGCGGCCGCCTCCAGCTCCTCATCACCGTGGCGTCACGCGGGCTGTATGCAGACCGAGATATAGCACGTAATACAGTGCAAATAGCGCATTAGAGAGAGAAAGAGAGTGAGAGAGACAGAGACAGCAGACGCAGAGTGAGAGGAAGAAGAGCGGCGCGGCCCGGCCGCCGGTAGCTTCCGTGAAGAAGACCCCATGCACTCCACCGCGAACAGACGTGAACAAGCTCGAAAAACACACGCTGACCGCCAAAGCCCGAGCAAGAAGAGGCGGGCGCGGATGTTGTGGCCCCGTTCACAAGAGCGGTGGCGGCGCGGCGGCCGAGTGGTCTTCGACTGCTTTTACCGACCCGGCCCGACCCGGCCCGCGGCCCCATCTCCTTCTGCGGGCCCTGCTTCTTCTTGTGTGTCGACAGAAACTCCAAGAACAACAGACAGCGACGCGGGCGACCAGGCCGACAACTCTCTGGTCCGCCACACTTTTAACCAAGTTTCTGAGGGGAAGCTCTGCTCTATTCTCCATTGTTACCCGGAAATACTTTCGATCGGAAGTACAGATAAAAAATCCAGGGGGGAGGAAGGGGGGCTCTTCTGATGTCATTGTTGACTTTCTTTTCAAAAAGAGTTTTCAGTTTGCTCCCCAATACTCCCCCGATTCAGACTCCCCCTGACTTTGGCCATCGCACGTCGAGCCCCCGCAGACCGTTCGTTCCGTTTCGGCCCCAATCTCCGCAGCTCCTCCTGGCGCCAAAGCCGTGGGAGGAAAACAACTACCAAACAATAACAACAGAAACAACCAACACGCGGCAGACGCGGAGTGAATTAGATGAATCAACCTCGGCGAGGGATGCGGCACAGAACACACACAACTCACACACTGCGATTGTTTGAAGATTCGGACGAAGAGGGTAAGATAACAGGCAAAGTCACACACACGTGCGTGTGTGTGTGTGTGTGTGCGACGCACAGGAACACGCCACGCACATGCACACACTCACACACACACTCACTCACTCACTTGGCCGACAAATATAGTCAAACATAGGCACCCATTCCCGGGGCCCTCTCTAGCCGCCCGGTGGTGGTGGGGCGGGCCCATGGGGCCCATGCGACTAGTTTACAACTCCAGCCGGCCTGTCCCGACGCGGGGTCCCGCGGGCCCCACCCAGAACAGCATCGGCACGTCCCGCTGGCCCCCGCGGGGCCCGCCGTCGTGTGCGTGTGCGTGTGTGTGTGCGTGTAAAGGTATAGGTGCCGGGCAGCGTAGCGAGCGTATAGCCCACGCAAAGAAAGGCAGGGCATTGTTGATTCCCACCAAGCGGCACGAACTCACTCCCCGATGAAATGTTATTTGCTGCAGGTGCGACTGGTTTGGTTATGGGAGGTTCGGCCCCCTCCGCGCCCCGCCCCGCCCCGCCACGCCACGCCACGCTCGGCTGCCCGGTGTGCTTTATAGTGCGGGCCCCCGGCGGCGGGGTGCGGCGGGAACACACTGCTTCGTTTTCGCTGTGCGAATAATTCGCCCGTTCCCCAAACCACCTCCACCACGCCAAGTCGTTTGTTCGTAATCAAATTAACGGATCGACGCCTTCTTTCTTGTCGACAGGACGCGGCGTTCGGCAGCAGCAGCAGCAGCAGCAGCAGACGACGACGGCAGCACCGCAGCGGATCACAAGTCACCGTGGGAACGCCCCTCCGGCCGCGCCCCGCCACGCCCCGCCACGCCCCGCCACACCCGGGGCGCGCGAGAGGAGGACATCGGTGAAATATGAGCGAGCCGGGGCCAGCCGCACCGCGGGGACAACGGGAGGCAACGGCTGACGAGCAGCAGCGGTAGTCTACGGCGCCGGCCACAGAGCGCGCCGCCGACAGCGGCCCCCAGCAACACCGCCACCAGAGGAGCGATCCCCAAGAGGGCCCCGCTGATCAACCAGGTGAGGGGCAGCTGCAGCTGCAGGTGCGCGCGCCGTCCGCCGCGGCGGCCCCCCGGGGGCGCGGGGCAGGGCGGGCGAGGAGGGGCTCTGCGCGCTGGCGCGTCGGTTTGGGATGCAAAGTGGCCGCGGAGGAAACGGTGCCGGAGGAGAAACCCGAGTGGGGCGCCGCCGGACCAGGACAGTGCGTCGGTCACAAGCGGAAATAGGCTAAAGCAAATAATTACACCACTGATGTCGCCAAAGTTCATCAATAACTGCGGCAATAACTCACTACTTGGTCAAAGCTCGAGGTTCGATCCAGGTTCGATGATGGTTGAAATTCGCCGAAGGTTCGGTAATTTACCGAAGCTCCGGAAGTTAATCGAATCGAAGTTACCTCAGTCTATCGAAGTTCCCCCATTTTTTTGTCGCAGTAGCTTGGACCTGTTTCCCCCTTCTCGTCGCAGACATCGACTACAAGTTGCTATGTTTTCCGGTAGGACGGGGTACAAATGCCCGCGGGGATTTGTACCCGGGGGTGCGCCTACGAATTGACTGCTACGCCTGCTCCGGCCGCCCGATCGTGGCCTGCGCCGTGCAGCCGTGTTTAACATTAATAGTAATGACAACGATAGAAATAGAGGAAACGTTCGTAAAGACATCGTCTAGGTGCGCTCTAAACGACTTCCTATTGTGTACCGCCCGTCCGCCGCCAGCTACCTGGAATAGTAGAGTGTAAAAGAGGCCCCCCGGCGTCGAAAAAATTAGAGCATCAAGCGTAAGTGAGTCTAAAGTGCGCTCATGTATGTAACGCGCACTGAGAAGCCGGAAGCTGCTGCCGACGCTGCCCCGGCGGCGTGACGCCTCGCCTTGTGTGAACACGGCCCGTAACAGCGGCCAACCCAGTTCATATTCGCGGCCAAAGCCAACGGCGCAGCTGCGTCGTTTCCCAAAGTATTATTAAGTACGTTTAACTCGTGGTCGTAACCTACACACATTATCTTCACACTTTGAGATATATTTTTATGTACTCATGAGTACGCGCACGTAATGTTTGGTGCACCGTAATAGTTTGTTTGGTTGCTGCTTATTTTGTTGGTTTTCCCTTTTTCTACATGAACGGTCGCCATCTCTTCTCCTTACCAGACCCCTGCCAGTTGTAGGGTAGGCCACCCGCTGAGCTCCGCTGCCATCCGGAGCAAGATATTGCCTAGCTACCAGGCGCTACCATCGCCCTGCCTCAAACACATAACTGACCTTTCTTGTTATTTTAATTAAGAAACCCCCAAAATTAGATTCATGAACACTGTAAATGGGTTGGCATCTTTTGACACCAAAATATTGGCGTCTTATGACGCCAAATTCTGGCGTCTTATGTGTTCTTTTACTGGACGCCAATAATTGGTGTCTTATATGACGCCAAAATTTGGCGTTCTTTAGAGGACGCCAATATTTTGGCGTCATAAGACGCCAACCCATTTATAGTGAGTACGTGCAATCTGCACGAGGCAGTGCGACATCTTCCTGTTTGCACCCATCCTTTGTTGCTCCAAGAGGGTTTAGAGAACGGAAAAATGTGTTCCGACATAGTGAGGTGAAGAGCCTTCACCGAGTAAAGCATAGAATAGGAGACTTAAAGTGGCGTACTTTACGTCCTGTTCGCAGCTCACTCTCCCGGCAGCCGGTAGCAATCGCGGATAGTTTTACTCGGTGCGGCAGATTTTTTCCTCTCTTTCCTCTCCCCCTGCCCTATCAGTCAAGGACTGGGGTGACGGCCGTTGTCAAGGCGGAAATGAGTGACTGCCGTCGAAAAGGTGGGGAAAGTTAGCAAATGTTGTGTTCGAAAAAAGCAAACACCAATTATGCTGTCGACCAACAACCGACAGATGAGCAGAATAGTTTTGTTTTTGTTAACTGACACAACGCGTATGGCTCAACTTGGCAGTGTGGGAAGAAAAATAATTAATTACAATTTCCGGTCCGGAATAATATCTCGATTATTCGTTTCGGAAATTAATGATTCAATAGTGACAAAGCACTTTCTACTAAAGTGCGAGCCGCGTATTTGCGCCCGCCTTCTACACACTCCCGATAACATCACCCTGGAAATTAAAGCCCATCGACAATTCAGTTCCCCGCTCACCTCCATAAAAAAGAGAGAAGTTTATTCGATAGCCAGGATCCGAAACGTTTTATTATTTATACCTTTGCCTCGGGAGCGAAAATAAGTTGGAGCGTCGGCGTATAAAACGACGTGCTCGCCCCTCACCTCCCCCTCTCTGTCCGCTCAGTCGCCGACGACGACGCTCCTGTTTCGACAGAATGTGCCTGTCGCGTGACCGCCGCACATCTCGATTCGGAATCGCGTCGCGCCGTCGATGATGGCGATACCGGCGTCGTAAAACGGTTTGGGAGCGCGCCTCGCGGCGTCATTCCCCGCGAGCACGGCGCGGCGGGCGGC